ACGTGAGATAAACTGTTCACCGAACTCGCCTCTCAATAGGGCCATTGTTTCGTGTGCGGCGTGGCATGTGGCACCGTCTTTTTGAAACAACATGTCAGCCAAATCCAGCTCTTCCATTTTGGGCAAAAAAAAGTTTGTTATCATCGCACGGTAGCGCTCGCCATTCACAGTTACGTTCCGGCCATTGTCGTCTCTGAAGAAGTACGGCCCGATGATGCCACCGGCCCATAATCCACACCAAACAGTGACTTTTCGGGATGCATTGGTAGCTCTTGCAATGCTTCTGGCTGGTCTTCATTCCAGATGCGGCAATTTTGCTTGTTAACGTACCCATTCAACCAGAAATGAGCTTCGTCGCTGAACACAATTTTTCGATAAAATTGCGGATCTTCCTCCAACTTTGCCAGCACCCATTCACCAAATTGGAAACGTAGTGGGAGGTCGCGTGGCTTCAATTCTTGCATCAGCTGTATCTTGTAAGGTTTTATACCCAAATCCTGTCGCAAAATTTTCCACGTATTGGAATAACAGAGGTCCAATTGTTGCGAACGGCGGCGAATCGACATTTCACGGTCATCACTAACACTGGCGAATACAGCCGCAATATTTTCTTCAGTCCTCACTCTACGGCTGCGTGTTGGTGGTTTAATGTCCAATAATGTAAACTCGGTTCGAAATTTAGTCACAAGCTTATGAATAGCTCCCTCAGTAGGCCGACCAAATCGCCCATAAATTGGAAGCAGTGCTCGATGCACTCTCTTAACCGAGCATGAATTTTGTTAGTAAAATTCAATAATTAAGCGTTGTTCGTTCGTAAGTCGATTCATGGTTAAATTATAGACCAAACTGAACAAGTTTGACAATGACACAAGACACGATTCACGCGTCATCTGTCAATAACAGTGTTGCCAAAAAGATACTAGCAAAAAAATCACCCATTAGTTTGTGGTTAAAAAGTTGTTCTCTTTGACAAATCTTTTGACGTGTGCCGGCGTTCTTGATTTAAATCAGTGGTTTTCTACAAATCCGTGGTGGAAAGTTTTGAAATGAACTCAAACCCCACACGGGAAGGGGTAACTAATACAAGTCAATTTGGAATCGGCCGTAAATGTTGTTTTGACTCATTTTGATGCTCATTAAAAATACGCGATCGGGTTATATTAGCTAAGGGTATTGTTAAAAATGCCATCGAAAGGTTCGCGTAGTAATGAATGGGTTGAACAACGCCCAATCAAATTAATAGGACATAAAAATGAATTTAACGATGTGGAATAGAGAACGGCGAGCATACAAAATTCATGTTTAGATGCGTCATTAAAGAAAATAGCAGCGGCTTTACGCGCTTGCTAATTCCGACGAGTTTTATGGCGGTTCTAAAAAGGACGTAAAAGTCCTGCGGGACGTTTTCAGCAAGGATACCATGCTATGTTGGCGCTGTCATTCATGAATTATAGGAGTGACTACAACAAAGTCTTAATAGGTTAAGAGATGAATTGGACACGACTCCATTTACGTCTTGCAACATTAAAAATGGACTTGAATATGTAAGACATTAGCATTTACCTATGACGCCTGTAAATTAGGCGATGAGAATGGAAATGTACAAACAAAAAAGAGTGATTTTGGTTCAAGAACAACTATCATCAATTGAGGACCGTGACTTCGGTATGTTCTAAGACATATATCTCTGAATTAAGCACAATTTTTCAATTGTAGGTGCAACGTTTCTTTAAAACAACGAAATTACAATTACAATATCATAATTTCATAGAAACTCATGCCCTTGAATCAATAGCACTCTTGCATAAGGCAGCGAATCGATTGAAGATGAACCTCGAAGCGGAAGGCCCTCATCTTCAAGAACTGATGAAAATATCGACAAAATCCGAAATCGTGTGCGTTCATATCGCCGGTTGACACAGCAATGTCAATAAACGAGTTTTTGGCTAGTAACACACATTCCTGTGACTCATCAAACTCCTTATTCACCTGACTTGATTCCTTGGGGCTCGCCGATTGCGAAGCTTTGGTTGGCACTGGTAAATTTAAATGTACTCTGTAGAGGATTTGAAATGTTTGCGATTATGATCCATCTGACAATTATGGTCAGCACTCTCCAATCGATAGAGCACTTCGTCTCATCAATCTGGTCCAGTCTGATATTGATATCAGTACCTCTACACTTTCAGGCTTTAATAATTATCTTTTAAATTGTAATTTTATGTAATAATGTTCTTGTGAGCCTGTATGTTTTATTTTAATAAAATTTTGTATAAGTACTTAATGAAGCATAATAAGTAAATGATAAAAATTTCAAAATGATTGCACTGCTTTAAAGCCCTTTGATCTTTAATAATGTGTGGATACACCCTGATGTGCTACGCATTCTCCAACGCGCCTAGGCATGCTTCTGATCAGGTGGTCAATGTCCTCCTGTGGTATCTCATTCCAGGCAACCACCAACTCCTCTCGAAGTGCTTCTAGAGTCTGAGGAGGACGTTGCAAATTGAGCAATCTCCTACCCATCATATCCCACACGTGCTCAATTGGGGATAAGTCGGGAGATCTTGGTGGCCATGGTAACAATGTGACATCATTATGTTGAAAGAAGTCTATTGTGACTCTTGCAACATGTGGTCGGGCATTATCTTGTTGGAAAGTTGGATCTGCCAGGGTGTCAAGATAGGGTAAAAGATGGGGTTCTAGAACTTCGTGGATATAACGCTGCGCGTTCATGTTACCTCTGATGAAGATTAAAGGTGACCTGGAACCATAAGCTATAGCACCCCAAACCATAACTCCAACAGTGTGATGAACATGTCTTTCAACAAAAAACTGTGGATTCCTCCTTTCACCACGTCGCCTTCTAACCCTGGCACGACCATCGTGCATGCCTAAACAAAATCGAGACTCGTCACTAAAGACAATACTGTCCCATTCCTGATCCCAGAGTGACCGTTGTCTGCACCACTCAAGGCGATTACGTCGGTGTTCTCGAGTTAAAGGGAGGACCCAGTGTGGCCGGTATGAAAACAAGCCAAAACTTCTCATTCGTCGGTAAACACTTCGCATGCCAATAGGTCTTCCGTGTTCTGCAAACCATTCATTTGCAATGGACCTGGTAGTGGAGAAACGGTCCCTTAAGGCCAATAATCTTAGGCGGCGATCTTCACGGTCTGTTATTCTACGGCGGCGTCCAGTGCCCCTTGCTCTTTGCGTACGGTCTTCTCGAAGCCATGCCTGACAACACCTAACCACAGTGTCTACACTTCTTTGCACTCTAACTGCAATTGCCCGAAAAGAAAGTCCAGCTTCCCGAAGTCCCACTATACGGCCCCTATCAAACTCACTAAGTTGACGAAATCGTACAGGTCTCCGTACTCTAGGCATCGTAACCGATCGTAAAGTATGTCAAGAACCAAAATCCGCCAACGTTGATTCTTTACTGCGGCTGAAATATTCATTTTTAGAGCGTTAGTGAATTAAAAAAAAGCAGTATAAAAACCGGAATGTCCAACTGATAAGGCTGAAAATTTTTTCACTTGTTATTTACAGTAAGGTAAATACATTCACTAACTTTTATTAAAATAAAACCATTTAAACTGGGTGTTCGGATTTATATGTCACTTAGTATAAACATTGCGTAATCTGTTTATCGGATGACAGAGAATAGCTGATGCTGAATATAGTATCTGGACCTATTTAGACGTTATAGTAAATAGCTAAGTCCAGCTTTTCAAACAAACTGTATCTTCGCGTATGACGGGGTTAGATTTCGAGACTAAATTTTGAGTTCTTTCATTTTCGTCTTTTTGCCTATCGGAAGCGATCCAAGTGCCTTGTAGGGAAGATTCTTTCTGGGAGGCTCGCTTGCCCATCACAGCATTTGAGTAGAGAATGTGCCTAACATGACATGTTATTAGGTTGTCAGAAATAATTGATGATCATTGCAGACCACTTCCACCGTGCCATCTATTACCAAGATCGACCACCGCGTCGAAAACCGGGTTCTCACTGTGTCAGCTTGAGGCCGTCTCTTCTGGCGCTAGAGGTGATAAGGCTTGGCTCCTAATCTATTAGAATTCATTGATTGGAACCGTAGAGGTATCTTACTGAGCGTTATTGTGACCACTTGATGCGTCTATTATGATGGCCTACTTGCTATTGAACACTATTGTATTTCATTAGATCTTCGCCTCCGATGGAGCATACTTTGCTCTGCTTTTGTTCGTGGTCTTGACTAGAGATCAATCCTAGTTCGTGCTGATGATTTCCCATAAACATGAAACACTTTGGGTCTCTACGAAAGCAGTATTGTTATTACTTCTATCGTGGTTGATGAAAATGCCGCATCTGCAGGAATGACGCTGTTAGTAAATTAAATTGTCATATCTCTTTGAAAAATAATGTATCGAGATAAAAAACAAGGAAGTTACGTTAAAAAGAACCTATTCTCGTTATACTGCCATTACCACTATGCCAAATTCTTCCCGAGTACTGTACAAATTCAGCATAGGTGGCTTGATTGATCTTAAACAAAAACCTTCAGACGGCTTGGTTAGAAAAATAAATTCTGATTGTAGTTTCAAGGTAGTCGGATGCCAATTTTGACAGCCATTTTTTATACGGAAGCAGCCGAGTAGGCAGGAGCCTAAATACCAGGGCAGGCTGTTATGAGGAACTTGAAGAAATGTTATCAATCCAATTTTTAAACTGCTACTTTTGGTAGAACTGGGAAAAACCTTCTCAGGTACGAAGTTCGACCCGGTTGCTGTTAGTCTTCTTTTTTACAGCTCGCCAGCACACATTGGCTGAATTCCTGCATGTAAAGTGCAGTCATCAGCAAAGCTAAGGATGGGATTCGTCGTACAAGAAAGGAGGTCGTTGATATCTACAAGGACACAAACGGTTCTTCAGTTTGCCTTTACTCTTTTCGGTGGCTGAGGTGACAACACAGTAATCCCTTAAAACTATTAATAAACTATTAAAAATAAACTCACCCTAAAATCACCTCCATTTCCATCATCCAACTCCAGAACATAACCTTCCACGTGGCTGTGCGGAGGTGGTTGCCACGCCACTGTCACCGAGTTGTTTTCAGCACTGCACTCTTCCGGGATTATTATCGGCGCCAGAGGAGCTATAAACAATATACAACATGCGGATGATGCATCTTAATATCCTCCAGGATGATTGGGTGGCCATGCAGTAGTTTAAGCAGGATAGTTTAAATGAGCGGTTTTGGGTTTATAGAATTCAGTATTTTTCGTATTGCTTTAATAGGATTAGAAAAACTGTGGCAATATTTGTTGAAAGTTCCTATAGACGTTGATTATCAAATGATCCGCGGTTATAGAAAATTTAATTGCTTCTCTGTCGTACCTTCCGTCTTAAAATACCGCCCCTGTCTTGGGACATTCAGAAAATGTTGTTTAATTCTTTTGGAGGCATCAGATTTTTTGTTTTTAGTACAGTTTTTTATATCTAAAGAACACTAAGTAATAAGATGCAATGATCACGAAGTAAAGATTTTAGTAGAACTAGATGATCGATTAGTAATTGACATCTGTTAAACAGGGTGCGGCAGAGAGGACGGACGTTTTTGGGATGGGTAGTACTCTCCGCCTCCGCCTACGAGAGAGGTGGGGAGGGTGCCGTTTGACTCGTGAGATCCTAGCATTAGTTTACCAGTTGTCGTTGGAGCACCGCGTTTTCGCCTATGATTGTATCGTCCGAAATAATGAGTCAGTCATCGTCGTACAGCGTGAGTTTCGTCGCCACTTCAACATTCATCGGAATAGAGCTGTTCCCTATCGAAACACCATCCTTCGTTGGGTTGAATCACTTCGCAGGAGTGGTGAACTGATCAACAGAAGACCAAGAGGAGCGCCGCGAACAGTTCGAACTCCTGAAAATGTTGAACGCGTTCAACAGGTCTTTCTTCGCAGTCCGACACGAGCTGCCCGGAAACATGCTGCTGCACTTCGCCTTAGTGATCGTTCGGTAAGGCGAATTTTGCATATGGATCTCCGCTTTCACCCCTACAAATTGGCCATTGTGCAACAGTTACAGCCCGGAGATTATGCACAACGAATGAACTTCGCACGTGAGATGAAAGCACTGATCGATCAAAATGAGAACCTCATTTTGTTTATGAGTGACGAAGCCCACTTTCACCTAAACAGCATGGTTAACCAGCAGATTTGTCGTTATTGGGCTAATGAAAATCCGCAACAGTTACACGAAAGAAGAGCGATGTTGGAGAGAGTCTACGCGAACTTCCAAGAACGCCTCCAGCACTGCATCAACGATTTCGGCCACCACATGTCTGATGTGATGTTCCACACTTGACTGTCTCAAATGCTATTTATTTGTGCACCTGATTCCATCAATAAATTTGTTTTCGAGTAAAAATTAACTATTTTATGATTTTTTAAAACCGTTCATCCTCTCTGCCGCACCCTGTATAAATATAGGTATAAAACCATGTTGGGCGGTTATTTTTCCGTTTTTTTAAATACCACGTACTCCTCCGAAACATTTACAAACAAACCAAATTTTTCATTTACATTTCGATGCATTTTTGACAATCTTAGAACATACTCAAAACTTAATCTAATGGCCTCCAAGACTACAATTTTTACGATTTCTGAATACTTAATAACGAGATCCTGCGTTCAGATTCATCAATCACTATAATGAACGTCGGTCAGCAACAGTTTATTCAAATAACTTTTGAAGTAAAATTATTATAAAATGTAAATTCAGTTGGCAGCACAACTTTAAACTTTCGTAAAATGGCAATTGTTCGCCACCGTAGCATTTCTAGTAAATGGCTTCATTGACACCTTTCCGGGAAATAATTTTAACGAAATTACATTATTTGCCAGGAATTTTTTGCTCGTTATTTCGCACTAGGTTTTTTATTCATTGTGTTGTCAATTTCAAGTTAGTTAATTGGTTGTTTGTTGGTACTCTGCCACTGTCAGGTAGGTTTACTTTGTACTTGTCACAGTGTTTTTAAAAACTTGTTTATTTTCCGTCTCTGTAAGCATGACCTACCACAGAGAGCGCTGTTCCGTGCTTGTCAGCAACTCATCAGTGCGGTATAGGTGTTAGGAGGAAAATCAGTTTGGCAAGCCATTGGTAGGTGGCGATCGTCATATTTTTCAGTAGCTGTTAAGTGATAGGAACCAGGTTGAATAAGAAATTTTATTTTGAATAAAAGCGTCGTCGAATCTTTATTCTTTCAAATAAATTCACGAGGTACTATTGTTCTGAGAATGACCAAATCTTGATTCACCGTTACTAGGTCTATTGTAAAATTATGACTATTATTTCAAAGGCATTAGCTATTATTATCATTATGTTGAACAGTATCTTTAACAGGAATTAAAGGAGTAAAAATGAGACTTTTTTCATATCCCGGACGTCAATTACCAATCGATCGTTCGATCAAATTAATATTTCAATGTTCGTATCCTCGCTTCGAAACTGGAAATACGACGGTATCTATAAATAACCATAAATAAGAAAATAAGGCAGGCATCAGGCAAGGCTAAATAAGGGTAAAATAAATTGGTATATAAACTCATAATTATAGCATACACAGGGCGTTTTCGAATAATGAGGCGATGTTTAGTTTTTAGTGTATCTTTATTGAAAAATGCAAATGTCAAAAGCGAGTGAGGTTATTTAAAATAAACATGTTTATCTAACGGATGTTGTTAGATTTGCAGAACTCATAATACTATTTTTCTTTTTAATGAGGCCGTTTTACAGGACCAACATCAGCTACCAGACGAATCTTTGATGCAACCGATTCCAAACTTTGATCTCATACGTTTCTCATTGCTGAAATCGCCCTGTATATTATAAAAAAACAAACCGAAACGTTGTAATAGTATCCAATTCAAATACAATATAGCGAGCATGCTCTCTCTATGCATTTTGTTTTGTTTGTTTGTTCGCATGCCAATTTACCTGCGGGTACTCTTTCTTCTCCATCAACGTATGCTGTAGTCGTGGGTAAACAAAAACATAGTCTGGATTTTAATATCATATAGGCTCCGTTTTTCGCTTTATATTACTGAATATATGCATGCGGGGAAGTAGATACTGGACAATGGGCAAAGGGCTCGGAACAAACTTCATTAAAAATACATTGTTCAGTTGACAAAACTTATGTACGTTTCACGTCGGTCATCAGAAAACATATTGCATATGAGAACTTTGAAGTTTCTTGTGTGTGATACTAGTGTCGACATACATTCGATCTAAGGTATTCCTCGATTAGAGATAGGTTTCAAACCAAACAAAATGAATGATATCACACCATTTATTTTTATGTGGTATATAATAAGAACATTAGTCCTCATAGCCATTTCTTATAATAAAGCATTTGAAAGTAAAACAGTTACTGATTTGCCCATTTTAATGTGTGAACCGTTACTTTTGATATAAGTGCTGTCACAATAAAAACTATCTATAGTTTTACGTACCTACTTGAAACTGTTTTACTTAAAATAAGTCTGTAGATAAAACCATAATGTTGTACTAGGTCAACTGGATATCATTTACTCGTTACTACAAACAAGAAACTCCATATATGTTAGTTCCGTAACATAGTTGGATTTTCATATAACGCGCGTATGTGTTTGTAATGCACATAATACCAATAAAGGTTGAATTTCCCTCACATTACACCCAAATATGTTGGCTGATTTAATATATTCCATGCATAAAATATACATAAAGTTCCGCACAGTCTGGAAGCAGCCATACTCAAAGTGAGGAAAGTTTCAAACTTTAAACTTTGTTGGTTTGGGTTTATTTTTTGTGTAACCTGATTTTTTCAATTTTAATGCTAAGAGAGTTTGAGGTTATCGTGTTTCAGTACTCTTGTTCTACTCATGACCTTAAAAGGAAGTTTCTGAAAAATGTTTTCATGAAATATTACGTAATAAAATCACTTTACGCGGAATTGTTGATCAGGTGGTTTTAACGAAACTCATTGATAGATAGAGGACATCTAATTTCTAAAAGTTTTGTTAAAATTCGTGTACGTGAAACAAATTCGTGAATTACGTAGAGCTTCACATGGATAGAAAAAGTTCATTTTTTATTTTGGTTAAATCTAAGAAAAATTAATACCCGAAAAAAATGTTATATGTAGCTGAATTCTTTGGCCGTGGACGTTTTTTATTTTTTTGTCATCATCATATGTATATAAATACTTGTTGCCTATCAACATTCGAAGGGACATTTATTCTCTGATGCTAATTCAATATATATATAAAGAGAATATGATCATGCGGAGAAAAGTATATAACAACAGGTAGGACAATCATATATATATATATATCCTTGAATTTCTTTGGGTAGAAGGCAAAGTATTGCAAAAGTACACTCTGATAACTTAAACTCAAGCTGTCGAAGATCTATGTCTTCATCGTCTGGAGCTCGAAACAATTATTGACAATAGCAACAATTAACAATTAGGAGGAAAAATATACTAAGTGACATATAAATCCGAACACCCAGTTTAAATGGTTTTATTTTAATAAAAGTTGGTGAATGTATTCATCTTACTGTAAATAACAAGTGAAAAAAAAATTCAGCCTTATCAGTTGGACATTCCGGTTTTCATACTGCTTTTTTTTAATTCACTAACGCTCTAAAAATGAATATTTCAGCCGCAGTAAAGAATCAACGTTGGCGGATTTTGGTTCTTGACATCCTTTACGATCGGTTACGATGCCTAGAGTACGGAGACCTGTACGATTTCGTCAACTTAGTGAGTTTGATAGGGGCCGTATAATGGGACTTCGGGAAGCTGGACTTTCTTTTCGGGCAATTGCAGTTAGAGTGTAGACACTGTGGTTAGGTGTTGTCAGGCATGGCTTCGAGAAGGCCGTATGCAAAGAGCAAAGGGCACTGGACGCCGCCGTAGAACAACAGACCGTGAAGATCGCCGCCTAAGATTATTGGCCTTAAGGGACCGTTTCTCCACTACCAGGTCCATTGCAAATGAATGGTTTGCAGAACACGGAAGACCTATTGGCATGCGAAGCGTTTGCCGACGAATGAGAAGTTTTGGCTTGTTTTCATACCGGCCACACTGGGTCCTCCCTTTAACTCGAGAACACCGACGTAATCGCCTTGAGTGGTGCA